CCGGGCGGGGATGGCGTCTCCGGGAGCGCTGGAGCCGGCGGCCGGCAGCGTGCCGGGCACCAAGGTGGAGCTCACCGTGTCCTGCCGGTGAGCGGGGAGCGGGCCGGGAGGAGGGCTGGTGGCCGGGCACGGGTGGGTGCGAAACGCGCGGGGATGCGCTGCGGGGTGCCCGCGTCCCGCAGCATCCCGCTGCCCGCCGGTCAGTCCCCGGCCCCGGGCGGGGGGTGGGCTGCGGGTTCCACTCGCTCCCCCGGGTACCGCTCGGTGCCACGGCTTGTGCCCAACGCCCCTCTGCCCGGCTGCCACCCGTGGGGAGAGGTCCCGACCCCTCCGCGGGGTCCCGGGGGATGCTGGCACCGGGCACGGCTCCGCGGCACGGCTGCTGGGGGGACGCGCTGCCCTTACCCAGGGCCGGGGTGCGGGACGGCCCCGCTCGGGGTGATGCCGGTGGGGCACGGGGTGCCGGTGCTGGTTGCGGGCGGGCTGCCTGGCTCTGCCCGGCTTCGCCAGCCCCGTGGGAGGCAACAGGGCCAGGAGTGGGTCAGCTTTGGGCCCGTGGTGGGACGGGGGCTGCTCGGTGCCTCCGGCTCTTGGTGGGGTCCGCGGGGCAAGCGGCGGCTGCTGAGCCAATCTGTCGGTGGCTAAATATAGCCCGGCAGAGACACCGCTGCCCTTGCTGCCCACGGCCGGGGGGGTCCTGCCTGCAGGGACTGGCACCAGCGGCCTCCTGGGCAGCAGCGTCCCCCATGCCAGGGGGTCAGGGAAGGCCTGCAGCTGGCCCCACAAAGCCCCCTGCCTGACTGGGCAGCTCTGGCACATGCCCGAGCCTTGCAAACTCCAGTCTGGGCCAGGGTCTGCTGTGCCCCCTCCCTGCGGCTGGGCCCCTGCCCTCCCCGCCAGCCGCTCTGGGCAGCAGGCAGAGGGGCTGCAGGGCTGTGGGGCCTGGCAACTGCAGGCAGGGAGCAGGGTTCGCTCCTGGAGACAGTCTCAGGGCAGGGGCAGGCTTTGGCTTCGCAGCCCCCCAAGGGCTCAGCCCCATCCAGGGCTGCTGGGGGAGTCTGGGGAGGGGGTCTCTCTCCTATGCGCTGGGGCCAGAGGAGCTGGCTGAGCCCCCGAGCCCCTGGCCATGCCCCAGCCCACCGTGCGTGGCCACCTTGGGGGTGCAGGAAGGATCCCAGCAGAGCCGGTTGCAGCCCCGGGCACTTTCCGGTGTCATGCCGTGCAAAGGACAACGATCAATTGCTCTGCCAGTGGCTGTGTCGGGGGCACGGAGCTGGTCCCTGCCAGCTGCCCAACCCCTGCTTTAAGTGTCTCTTTTCTTCTTACTTCTGCACCCCGCCATTAGCCACACTCCCGCTGCCAGGGTGCGGCGGGCACTCAGCCGGCGCCAGCGGCACGGGGGAAGGTTTCATTCTCTAAATGGGTTCCCTGTCATGTTCAATCATCGTCAGCTCTGGAGACGCTGCTCCCCGCTCACCCCGCCATCCCACCGAACCTTGCGGTGGGAGCTAGTGCATCTCCCTGGGGTGCCGGGACTCTTGGCCCTGGGTGCCAGCATGGCCTTCTGGCATGGTGCTGTCCCACGATCAGGGGGGAGGACAGGAGGACCCACTGTGGGGCCAGGTGGGTGGCACCCAGGGTGGCTCACGCCTGGCTCCCTTCCCCCAGGAACCTGCTGGATATGGACACCTTCTCCAAGTCTGACCCAGGTGGGTGGCAGGGCTGGACAGGGGGCACGGCATGGTGTGGGCACAGGCGCGGCACGGCGCGGCACGGCAGCCCGGCTCTGCTCCTCTCTCCGCAGTGGTGGTCCTCTTCGTACAGGGCTCGGGGAGCAGTGAGTGGAAGGAGGTGAGCACGGCCCCTCTCGCCAGGTCTCTGGGGAGGCTCACAGCCCCATGCAGGGGGTGCTGCCGCCCCCAGCGCCCCCCGCTCCTGGCTAATCCCCGGCTGGGTTAAATGGGCCCATATGGCCACCCACATCCACGCTAATGATCCCTCCATGTTCACGCTAATGATCCAGCCCCGCCGGCAACACTAATCCCCTGCCGGGATTAGTGCCAGGGCAGCTGCGATGGGGCTGGGTCCTGGGGGGGGACCTGCCCTCTCGCCTCTTGCCTCTCCCCTCTCCCCTCTCCCCGCAGTTTGGGCGCACCGAGGTGATCGACAACACCCTGAATCCCGACTTCGTCCGCAAGTTTGTCCTTGACTACTACTTTGAGGAGAAGCAAAACCTCCGCTTCGATGTGTGAGTAGAGCGGCCGGGGAAGTGCTTGGCCCCGCTCGGGGTGGAACAAAGCACTGAGTTGGTAATAAATAAGGATAATAAATAAGGATATGGCGGTGAAAAGCCCAGATGGGTGGGGAAGCAGGGCTGTGTGCCAGGGCACCCCCATGGGCACCGTCTCAGCGCTCTGCTCTCCCACCACCAGCTACAACGTGGACTCCAAGAGCTGCTCCGTTTTAAAGCAGGTGAGCGGAGCCTGTGCTGGGGGGACATGTGGTGATGCCCCGGTGTCATGCTGTGGTGGGGCACCCCAAGGCCATGCCCCGTGTGGGTGCTGTTGGGGGGGGAACAGGTGCCTCTTGGAGGGCTCTAACCCGCTCTCCCTCTCTCCGTGCCCCATGGGGACTGGCAGAAGGTATGTGCCCGCCACGCACCAGCCCCTGCTCTGCCCTGGGAACCTGGCCCTCATGGGGTGGTGCAGGATGAGGCCAGGACACAACATGAGGGTGGCTCTGGGGGTGCAGGATGGGTTCAGGGCACGTGGGGTGGCTCTGGAGGGATGGGTCCAGGGTACGTGGGGCAGTTCTGGGGGGGCACAGGGTGGGTCCAGGGCTGTGGGCTAGCCCTGGGGGCACAGGATGAGGCCAGGACACGTGGAGTGGGCACCTGGGGTGGTCCTGGGCATGCAGGTGGAGTCCTGGGCTGGGGGGTGGCTCTTGGCACACAGGGTGGGTTCAGGACACTTGGGATCATCCCGAGGCAAGGTGGCAGCAGGTCCCGTGGGCGCATTGGGAAGGCGAGGGGTGGGGGTGGGTGGTGGGGGGCTGAGGCAGGAGCCCCTGGGGTCTCACAGCGCTGTGCTCGGGGCGCAGGACTTTCTGGGGCAGGCGTTCGTGGCACTGGGGGAGGTGATCGGGTCCCAGCGGGGCCGCCTGGAGAGAGCCCTCACGTGAGTCGCACCCGGTGGCGGGGTGAGGGGGGGGGTTCCCACATTATGTCCCCAGCTACCCGCCCCATGGGACCCCTCCCTGCATGTCCCTTGCTGGGGATACTAGACTCACTACCGAGCACCAGCCATGGGGCACGAGCCCAAACCCCTACACCATCTCCTGTCCCTGTCCCGTTCTCCTTGTCCCCAAGCTGACTCGTCACCTTTGGTCCCAGGGGGGTCCCAGGGAAGCGATGTGGGACCATCCTGCTGCTGGCCGAGGAGCTGAGCAACTGCCGGGTGAGTGCCTGTGTCCCAGCAGCAGTGAGGTGGGGGCCACGTGGCCCCCCCTGGCACGGGCAGCTGCTGGGGGGGCTCTGGGGTGAGGAGGTGGCCAGCGGTGACGGTCCCCATCCCCAGGACATCATCACGATGCAGCTTTGTGCCAACAAGCTGGACAAGAAGGACTTCTTTGGAAAATCCGACCCCTTCCTCGTCTTCTACCGCAGCAACGAGGATGGCACGTGAGCGCAGGGGCCTGGCGGGGCGGGCAGGGTGCCAGTCTCACCCTACAGCGTGCCCTGACCCTGCCCTGTCCCCGCAGCTTCACCATCTGCCATAAGACGGAGGTGGTGAAGAACACGCTCAACCCGGTGTGGCAGCCCTTCACCATCCCCGTGCGTGCCCTCTGCAATGGCGACTATGACCGGTACGGGGACGGGGACAGGGATGGGGACAGCTGTGGGGCCAGAGCAGGCTATGAGCATCAATTCGTGGGTTTGGCCCCGCAGCGGCAGGCAGCTCAGAACTGGGTCCTTATTGGGTTTTTCTTCCTCTTTCGCAACCCAAATTACATAAAGGCATCCCCCTCCTTTTCAGAGCCCCCGCCGTGACCCAAATTTCCCACTTCCCTCCTGGCAGAGACGTGGGCCAGGCAGGCAGGGCGGTTTTGCCAGTGGTTGGCGGGCAGGGTGCTCGCTGCAGGGTGTGCTGCGGGGCTGGGTGTCCCCAAACCAGGGGGGCCAGGGGCGGCCATGCCAGCCAGGCCGGCAGCTCACCCTCCGCCCGCCTTCGCTTTCAGGACGGTGAAGATAGACGTCTACGACTGGGACCGGGATGGGAGGTGAGGCCATGTCCGTAGGGTTGCACGGGACATCGGGGTGCTGCTGCTGCTTCTTGGGGTGCCCCTCACCGGGGCGCCTGGCCGCACCGACCCCACGCTCCTCCCGTAGCCACGACTTCATCGGGGAGTTTGCCACCAGCTACCGGGAGCTCTCCCGAGCGCAGAGCCAGTTCACGGTGTATGAGGTAGGGTGGGAGGCTAGGGCAGGGGACTGGGGGGGCACCCCATGCCAGGGCTGACCCATCCCTGTGCCCGCAGGTGCTGAACCCCAGGAAGAAATGCAAGAAGAAGAAATATGTGAACTCCGGCACTGTGAGTGGGGCTGGGGTTCTCCTGGGACTCCTGTCTGTGGGGGGCCAGGTCTGACCCCCCCACTGTGCCTGCTGGGGGGGGGTCTGGGTCTGACCCCGCCCCCGTGCCTGCAGGTGACTCTGCTTTCCTTTTCCGTCGAGTCTGAGTTCACCTTCGTTGACTACATCCGGGGCGGGTGAGTGGGGGGCCAGGTGACCCCCCGGCTCCCCGAGACCCCCCCATGGGCGAGGGTCTCGAGGCAAGGATGGCAGTGACAGCACAGGTGCAGCCTGGGGGTGACGAGGGGGTGGGGAAGCCAGGGAGGGGGTGCAGGACGGTGGCCCCGGGGCTGTGGGGTGCTGGCTGGGGAAGGGGGGGCCCAGGCAATGGGTCCCGGGGAGCGGGGAGGACACGCCACGGCATGGGGCTGGAAGACAGCATCCCTGCGCCGTGAGGCCGGCAGCCTCCCTCGCTCTCCCCCCTCCCCAAGGACGCAGCTGAATTTCACCGTCGCCATCGATTTCACGGCCTCCAATGGTGAGTGCAGCCTGTGCGTGTCGGGGGCTCCCCGTCGGCGAGGCCGTGGGGCCAGCCGTGGGGCAGGTGCCGACGGGCGCTATGCCGCAGGGATGCCGTCGCAGCCCACCTCGCTGCACTACGCGAGCCCCTACCAGCTGAGTGCCTACGCCCTGGCGCTGAAGGCGGTGGGGGAGATCATCCAGGACTACGACAGTGACAAGCTCTTCCCTGCCTACGGCTTCGGCGCCAAACTCCCACCCGACGGCAAGATCTCCCACCAGTTCCCCCTGGTGCGCCACTGGGTGGGGGAGAATGCTGGGGTGGGGGGTAAGCAACCGCCTTGGTTGCATCCTGCCCTGGCATCCTGCAGCCAGGGGACACATACCAGGAACCATAGTCCCCCTCCAAGCGCCCATCCCTGTCTCCCAGAACAACAATGTGGACAATCCCAGCTGCGCCGGCATCGAGGGCGTGCTGGAGTCCTACCTCCAGAGCCTGCGCACCGTCCAGCTCTATGGTCCCACCAACTTCGCCCCCGTCATCAACCAGGTGGCTGGGTGAGCGCCGGGGGAGTCTGTCCCCTTTGCCATCCCCAAATGCCACCAGTCCCACTGCAGGGCTGGCTGCCCCACACCAGTGGGGCTGCTGGAGGGACCCCATCCCTTGTCCCCATAGGGCGGCCGCCCAGGTGACCGACGGCTCTCAGTACCACGTCCTCCTCATCATCACCGATGGCGTCATCTCTGACATGCTGCAGACCAAGGAAGCCATCGTCACCGTGAGTGCACCCTCGTCACCGTGAGTTCACCCCGTGTGGGGTGCTGCCCCGGCTGCCACCCTGCCTCTGCCCCACAGGCTTCCGCCTTGCCCATGTCCATCATCATCGTGGGAGTGGGTCCTGCTGAGTTTGAGGGTGAGTTGGGGCTTGGGGACACCGGGGAAGGGGCACAGAAATGTCTTTGGTGTCCCTTCCTCTGGGATGGTGCTCCTGTCCCCGGTGGCCACCCCACCGAGGCTCAATGACAGCGGCTGTCACCCCCCCCAGCCATGGAGGAGCTGGATGGTGATGAGGTACGGGTGTCATCCCGGGGACGCTACGCCGAGAGGGACATTGTACAGGTAACACCGGCACTGAGCCCGGTCCCACCACAGGCGAGAGATGCTCAGCCCCTCGCTGACCCCTGCAGCCACAGGGTTGTTTCCAACTGGGCTGCAAACTTCTTTCCCTCAAAGTTTGTGCCATTTCGGGATTATGTGGACGACTCGGGAAACCAGGTGCTGAGCATGGCCCGCCTGGCCAAGGACGTGCTGGCCGAGATCCCCGAGCAGCTGCTCTCCTACATGAAGACCCGCGACATCAAGCCTCGCCGGGCGGACCCCCAGTAGCTCCTCCATGGGCCGTGGGGACCGGCCGGTGGGGCGAGGACACGCGTCACCTTTCTTCTGCTGGTGGCCAGGGCTTAGCCACGGAGAGGTGGCCCTCGCAAGGGCGATAATCAGCTGCTACGGCTGGTGAACGGGGTTGAGCCCTTCCTCTTCTGGCACAGAGCTGGACGTCCCCAGCCGCCCCCTCCTCCTGCCCGTCCGGCAGCAATGCCCCGGCACAGCCGGGCTGGCTCAGACTGTACCGTCCCTCAGCCGCGGCAGCGTGGGCAAGGCCGGTACCCGGGTACAGGCTGTTGGGGGGCCACGGTGCGTGTGTCCCCCGCCCCGGGAGGGCAGCCTGGCTCCCTTCCCCGGGGAGAAGGCCGACCCTGGGGCTGGGTGCATGCCGGGGGTCCCAGCCCCCCGCCAGTTCCTTGGGGCAGGGGCCCTCCCCCCGCTCCTGCCTGCACCCCATTATTCCTGCCTGCGCCCCATTCCTGCCTGCACCCGAGCGCCAGCACCCCGCTCCTCCGGCCCCGGTGCCCCGGCCCCGGCCTGCCTGCCTGCCCCACACCCGGGGGGGTGCCAGAGGGCTCAGCCCCACAGCTATGGGGTGCTGCAGGGCCTGGCCCCGCAGCCGGGGGGGGGATGGGTGGGTGTGCGGGAGGGCAGGCGGGGTCTGTACCG